CTCTTTTTTGGCGGGCAGACATGCATACAATTTTGATATTTTTTAATAATTTTTAATTTTTAATATATTTCAGAATATAAATTTTTTGAACGTTGGCGTGTCAAATGACAGCTTTTGGGTCTTTCTGATTGGTCGGAGCAGAACGCTTTCTGATACAACTCTGCTCTGAACTGGTTTTCAAACGAGTTAAATGATTTAACTGGTTCAATTTTCCAACAACAATTGCATGCGATTTAACTTGTTTATGAACATGTTTTGTTCATTTAACTGGTTCAAGCCCATTTAACATGTTTAGCTCGTCAATTTGAACGTAGTATAAGTTTCAAACTTTGTACAATATTCAAAAAAATCAACAAACTTTCGTAAAAATTTTGAGCTTTTGAATTCGATTTTCTGGAGAAATTTTGAGTACACAGTTTTATAGCCTACTCAATTCTAAAACAAAAGAGTGCAAGTTTCAAGTGTCTAAAAATTTACGTTTTAGAATTTTTTTGCCGAAGATGTTGCTGTTTTCTTCCATATAAGGTAAAGTGTGTTTATTCGTTATTGGAGAAAATTCTAAAAAATCAACGGAAATTTTTAGCCATTTGAAACTTTATTATACTGGAATTGAACGATCTACACAACTGCATACGGCTCATTCCACGGTGACGAGTGTGACATCTCAACTTATATTTTTTTTAAATCATTATGAAATTAAGGAAGCAAAAAAAAAAAACATTATACCTAATTCTTCAAATAAAGAATGTAAACTGAAATTCCCCACAAAAATCGGTCCTTTCCCCGATTCCCGCACATCGAGGAATTCCCCACGAGTTGGCTTCCCTGGTACAAAGTGTTCACCACAACTCACATTCACATTTGGTTTTGTGGTCGTCAGAAAGCATTGCAAGCAAGCAAGCAAGCATCCATTGCCGTCTTAAATAACCTAACGAAAGCGTTATGTTCGTGAAGAAGTTCTTGCGGAATCTGTATAGAAAAGGTGGTGGCAATTTCAAAATGAGGGAACAGAAATCCAATATACATACACAGACTTATTTCAGACGAAATACCATAAATGTCTTACAATTGAATTTGTAGGCGGAATTCATGAAGAATTGTCTTTATTTTGTTTCGTCGCCGTGAAGCAAGGACCGCAATGGTTATGGTGGCCGATTTAACGGTTGTAATTTGATTTTGATCCCTCGTGTCCCGAATGACTTCAGTTGACGATTTTTAGCAATTACTCGACTCCAGAGCCACCTGGCGAACCACATTTTTCACAGAAATATTTCCCTTCAGGTTACCAATATAAACATATTTTGAATATTAGCCAGATCAGATCACAAATACGATTTTTAATAACTCGACTCCAGTGCCGCTTGGCGTTTTAAGTTGTGAACTTAAACTATACAAGGACTTTAGGAAAAAATTTCATTAAAATCATTACGGCCGTTTCGGAGGAGTTCACTCGAAAACACACGTACCCAAAAAGTATATATGTATTTATAAAATATATATATATATATATGTATTTAAAAAAATAAAAAATTTGTCTGAAATCAACGGAGTTTTTTTGCGATTTCGAACTTGACTACAAATCGGCACACCAAAATTTCAGTCGCTGATGGTGTTTGCCGTTAAAATAAGTAATGAGAAAATGGACATGACATACTCGATATCGAAAAAAAGATCGATGTCGGCAAAAAAAACAAATAGTCGACATATCGATACTGACATCGATATATTTGCAGCTCTACAATATAGGATAATTACTAAATATTATCAATTTTAATAACACAGTTAATTTACCTCATAAGTGGTAAAATCGATTTTTAGTATGCCATCCATAAATTTTCATAATAATTTTTTTCGTAATTACGTGTGTGTATGAGCATTCGTCCATACATAAATAATTAAAATATACTATGAATTTGCTCCAAGTATATAGTGTACACATCCATACATACATATGTACGTACCAGGGTTGTTGCGAATATTCTTATTCGCATTCGCAACCGCGGAGCTTCCGCATTAATTTTAACATTCGCATTCGTTTTCGTATTCGCAATAATCAATGCGGAGCTTTTGCGTATGCGAATGTTGTGCAAGTGCACCGATAAAACGTATATCTGGCAAACAAAATGACAAATTGTAGCCAATATTTTTTTGCCTGTGGTCGTTGGAGTATTTGTGTAATAAAACTGGTCAAATGTTAAATTTATCAACTGTGATAAAAATGTCTTTAAACATATTAGTGGTATTCACCAAATTGAGCAAGTGGCCTGGCAGTCTGGCAAAAGAGTAGATCAGCTCAACCAACGACAGTTAACAACAGTCGTTGCTTGAGCTGATCTACTCTTTTGCCAGACTGCCAGTCTGTGTTGCCAGGTCTTCGGCATGAGATAACGTCCCTCTTGGTCTGAAAAACGTCATTTCCTACCCAAAAACGTCTTTTTCAAATGAACGTACAAAAAATTGTTCTTATTTAAAGTTTTATGGTATACAAAGGTACATATCGAGCCCTAACCGCCAGAATAACGTAAGCGACATTTTTTTCAAAATTTCCTTTTTGATGCAGAAATATTCCTAGAGCATCTATATGCATTTCTGCATCAAAAATAAAATTTTGAAAAAAATGTCGCTTACGTTATTTTGGCGGTTAGGGCTCGATATGTACGTAAGGTATATTAAAATATCATTTCGACAGAGCACATTTAAAATTTATTGTAAACTGGTTTGAGATCGTTAATATAAAAATCATTTTATACATTCACTTGTGATCAACTGATTAAGTCATCAACATTTTGATGGATTTTGGCTGTTTCCCTTTCGTTTATTTAATGTTGATTATTTTTCCATAAAAGCCAAGCTCATTAACAAACAAAATATAAATCCACAAAAATAGTGCAAAAATTATAAACAATCTGCACTTTTCAGCTAGATTTTCAACTTTCTATTCAGATTTTTTAGCCCATTAAATTTCAGGGCAATAATGTGCAAGTTTAAAGGGGCTAAATAATCGCTTTGATTTTTAATAATTTTTTTTTCTTGTAGAAATTTGGTTAGGGGCTCGGTTGTCGAAAATGCTAAATTACGTTCTGCTAAGAAGGAGCATAGCAATAGGTCCATTCAATATCAAAAAATTGTTACGAATTGTTACTAGATCTTGCAAGTTTTTACTGGAAATGCATTCAATAACCCAAAATATTTGCAAGAGGGAGCGAATTCGAGAGCGTAACAACCCGAGAGAGCTGCAAATTCTGGCAAGTAAAAATTTTACTTGCAGGAATTTGCAGGAGTCCAAAAGTAAAGTTATGTTTCAAATTCAAATGTAAACAAACTGTTTAAGAGGATGATTTGATGAAACATAATTAGTGAAATGAAAATATGGGTACAAAATTTAAATCTATTATTGCGCCAAAACTTAACCGTCAGAAAGTGTCAAAATGGCTTAAGTTGCAAGTTTTTCATTTNTGTTTAAGAGGATGATTTGATGAAACATAATTAGTGAAATGAAAATATGGGTACAAAATTTAAATCTATTATTGCGCCAAAACTTAACCGTCAGAAAGTGTCAAAATGGCTTAAGTTGCAAGTTTTTCATTTTATTTTTCTTTCACGCTCTCGCTGCAAGTACTTACTGGAAAAGTTATTGAATGGACCTAATATTTCAGTCTTTTTTGCGTTCAGTACATTTTCAATGAAGTCTTAAAAAAGTCGCCTACTTTTTTCTGACGTTTTATGCTGCACAGCTTTTTTGATGCTTTTGCGAGCGTGCCTGCTGCAATAGATCGGCTCTACCTGATTTGGCTTTTAATGTGCAATTACATCATACAGCAAGCCTCGTAACCTCAAGTGTTTACATAATCAGCCTTTGAACAAAGGATCCTTAGTCCAAGGATCCAAAAAAAACTTTGGAGGAAGCAGCTGCAGCAAACACAAAGATTGTAAAGATTTATTAAGAAAATAATTCAAAATCAGTTCTACTTATAAGATTTAGTAACGAATAAAAATTACTGGGAAGTTAAAAAATGTCATTTTTTACACAAAAAACGTCCAAATGTCAACAGGGTACAAAAAACGTCCAAATAACGTCAAAAACGTCAACTTGGCAACGCTGCTGCCAGGCCACTTGCTCACTTTGGTGAATACCTTTATTATTTCCTATATAACCGAGCTAGTTATCAATGAGCAGTCATACAAGTTCCCACTTCTACTTGACCTTTGACGTACGTCAAAGAGAATATAGTCCTTTAAATAATATATTTTTTTTGTTTTCTCTTCCTTAAATACCTTCATTGGTTTCTTTCTTCATTATAATTTTTTTGGACCAAACTTAAAAAAACTACTAGACATAAAAGAAGAAAGTGTGCTCTGTAATTTTAAACCAAATTGTCGCGATCATTTCAAATGGGGCTCTTTGGGGAATTTATTTTAAGCAAAAATTTAAAAAACAGTAATTTTGTTTACTTGTCGGGCAATATTTTTTCATAGAGATATACATAGGTATGTACATTGGATCCTTGGATAAAAGCCTCTGTGGTAAAACTGTCCCCCTAAGTCTCCCTTCCTTGCTACTTAAAGTCAAAGATTAACAATAGGGACTTCCAGCAGAAATCTTCAACATTTAGCTATAAAGAGAATCGATGCTGAAATAATTAAAAAGCTATAGTTCTGACCTTTAATTAGATAAGAATTACGTAACTATCTGAGACCCTCATCATTCGTGATTCCAATAATTCAAATGCTTATGAAAAAACGGGGTGTTTCTTTTAATAACAATATTCTAATCCGATTCGGCTGGCAGCCACGATTTTGATAAAAGAATTTTGTTCAAAATTTTCATACCTGAAAAATAATAATTTATTTTCCATATCCACCTATTTAGCTCGCTATAAGCACAAATTTTTCAAACCAGTCGCAGAAGAAAGTATTAAAACTGAATAACAAAAACTAAAATCGAAAAATGCTGATGACGTTACGGGTTTCCCAAATTCTGAAAGGTATGAGAATGAAGAATTCTATTTAAAAAGTTTTAGAAAAACCTGACACATCTGGTTTGGCTTGTAAGCGCTGTTTAAACAACGATCTCACCATTATGCTTGATTCTTCAAGTGAATATGAAAGTCAGGAGGATACATCCGACATTTTCAACCCCGATGCAATTCTCATTACGTTTAATTAAACATAATGTTCCAATTTTTAAATTCAAGTTATAAATAAAATAAACATTTTTAAAAATTACTAACTTTTCCATTTTGTGTTTACCTAATAACTTAAAATGGTTGTTTCTTAAAAATATTTTACATCCCCTAGTATGTACATATGTACAGTGCCGCCTTTAAGGTAGGGCGACACGTGCGGTCCCCCGGGCGCCGAAATTTATATACTTGTATAATTTGGTTGCCTGCTTTTATGATCGAAAGAAATACTAAACTCAGCGTATTAACTTTTTGTCGCTTGTACGCGGCCGAGTAACCAAGGTTTGGGAACTATAATTTAATCTTGTCTTTAATTCGGCACCACTGCCTAATACCACTACACAAAATGTACGAATTTAAATTCAAATGAATTCACTTTAAAAATCTTTCTAAAACATAGTATTTTTAAGTACAAACATTTTAGTGGCAGTTTAAGAAATTTATAGCAATAAATAAAAAATAAGATACCAAAATTCACAAAGTTTTGCTTATTTTATCTTATCAAATTATTAAAAACGTGCACGTTTTGATAGCGCTCTCACAAGGAAGACAGTTTCGTATCAGTTTATCCTTCATCAGGGTTTGGTTAAGTATAACTAAATAGTCGTGAGAACTCCGGTCAATATTTCCTGATAGTGCGTACGTACACTCACTTTCAAATTATACACCCAGAAAAAACTCCGCCAAAAATGATTCACTCAACACAGGATTTGGTAACTATAACTAAATAATGTAACCATAATTATGTGTTGAGAGAAATATATTTAGCTCACTTTTTTCTAGGTGTAGCTAGGATGAATTTTATATCTATTGAGAAACGGCCGATTGTATTAAAACAAAAATTGTATATATCTTAAATAGCTACGCGCGCACCAGAATAACTCCCGACTATACCAAAACTGTAACCGACACGAACAAGTTTGCACATGTCATAGTCATGCACTCAGAAAAAAGTCAGCTAAATATATTTCTCTCAGCATATGATTTGGTAACTATAACCAAATAATGTAACTATAACCAAATAATGTTTTGAGAAACATATTTAGTTGACATAACTAAACTTTTTTATCAGTGTACCTAAATTAGCGCATCAAATTTATATACGCAGGCGCCACGATCAAATCATTTAATTAGGGGTGACTCTCAAACATGAATTTTTCCGCTCTCAAAACAAATGGTAACTATGACCAAATCATTTGTTGAGAGAAAGCACATCTGTATTAACCGAACATAATGAGGCGTATTCTTCTTGATGATAGGAAAATTTCATGATTTTCGATTCATATCAAAACAATAATATACATCAAAAACATCTTTTTATGAACCATACGCTAGGTTTAATGGAATTTATAGAAATATGAATCAAAATGACATTAATTAGTATTTACCGAATCTAAATTCTTCAACCACATTAACAATTTGGTTCAACCAAGATGAAGCTTTAATATATTTAGGTATAATACCAAGCCCTGGTAATGCCCTCGTAGTAGTTTTATTATTTCTAGACAGAAGTTTACAAAAGCTCAATAATACCAAAATGACTTTATTTCCATTGCCAGTTGGAATCAAGGCCATATCGAAATTATGGTTTTATAGCCTTATTGCGTATGGGTTTATTGAACCCCACCGTTTTTTATCACTCTTTTGGACTCTATGCTTATATCTAAAATTTTCTGCATCTTAAAATTTTCTGTTTAATATACATAAACAAATATCAAAATAAAGAAGAATAATTACGACATTGAAATGTGCAAGGATTTTTTTTATGAAATATGAGCAGGAGAGAATGTTACGCATAAGAATGTACTACATAGCGTATGAGTAACATTCTCATTTGTTCGCTTAATTTGCGTTTACGCGTTCAAAACACTGCTTTCTCTTTGCTTACACGTATAAGATTTCCTTATTTTTTCTATATTTTATTAAGCAGACAATTTTCTGCAAACAAAAATTCACTTCCCAAAGCTATGACCGATTAGCTGTTCAAATTAACGAGAAATTACCTATCGTCTTGAAAGAAAAATTGGTGATAGGCAATTTGCAAAGTGTGAGTGCATTGGTAAAAACGGGTGAGTGTATGCAAATTAAATCTAATTTGTATTTTTTTTTTAATGCATAAAATGTCTGCTTTTGTTTTTTCACACACAAAAAAAAGTTTTTTTTTTATGAATTGAATCAATCTCAAAGGTATTTACATATTTTACAAAAGTTTTTTATACAATACGTTAATTCTTTTATTTAAGGGCCCGAATTTCTTTTGTTTAATCTTAATGATTGGTGGGAATGGTTAACCAATTCTGTAAACAATGTTATGTGTAGTTTTAATTTTTACTTCTAATTTGTGTAGCTAAAAGCCCCGCAAACTCGAGAAATTTCGTTTTAATGATGAACAAATTTTGGTAGTGTGGAAACTGATTTGGTAGGCGTTTTGGTACCTAAAAATATTTTCAAGTGGCAACACTGCTCATATTTCACACACAAAAATTCTTGCGCATTATCATTTGACCACTCAACTCTTTTATTTACCATCTATTTTCTTCTTTGGTGGCTTGACTATATCGTCATCTGAAATGCAAAAAGACGTAACAAACACTGTCGCAGAAATTCAAAAAGTTGTAAGTAATAAAAAATTCAAAATTCAGTTTTTGATTGATATGATGGATTTCATCGAAACAACTTCCACATCATTTAATGAAAAAAATAAAAATTTTTAGTCACGACTTACGGTTTACGAAGTATTTTGTGAGCTTTCATTTACCACATTTCGTTTTAATATTGGTCAATTGCTTCGTAAGAAGTACGTGAAATAAGTGGAACCATGATGTATTGTGGAACGGTTTTCCGTCATCCCTTGTCAAATTTGGTTCGAAGTGAACCACTTTTTTTAGCTGAATAACGGTAAATTGCAAATGTATCGAAGACTTATCCATAGAAAAAAATTAACTCGATTTTCGGAATCAGAGAACAATATTACATACAAATTTGATAGTGGCGTTCAGTGTGCGTTTTTTCTTTAAAGCAGTGTTATAGCCTTCAAATTTGTTGTGCTTGTTCCTCTCACAACTCAAGTAAAAGTTAAATTTCTTCTTTGTGCAATAGTAATATTTTATTAACAATGACAGATTTGCGCCTTGATGTTGTCACACAAAGGGGAGGGACATAGTGTTTTACGCCGACTTCGAACGGCGAACGTATTTTTTTTATAAGGAGCTGCTTTTCATGGCAGAAATACACTCCGAGGTTTGCAATTGCCAGCCGAGGGGAGACCGCTGTGATAAAAAAAAACGTTTTTGTTTTGAATTTTTTTATGTTGGGTTGAACCGGGCCTGAACCCAGGCCGCGCAGTGCTAACCACTACACCACAGCGGCCGCCTTTTTTAACATAATATTTTCTTAAAAATATCTCTTTTCCTTGCTAACGTAAATTTTTTTATATTTTCACATTTGACACTTCTCCTCTTCTTAGCGAAAATAATTAATAAAACTAGATTGGACATCGAACAGTTATCGGTTAAATCTGACATTATTTTATAATTACAGATTAACTGGGGAGGAGATTTCTGTGGCTAATCTGATATTTTAATTACAGATTAGGGCGTTAAGCACGAAAATGAGGATAATCTCTGTATATGTAAACGTACTTTAAAATTAATGAAAACGCACTTTTAGTTACAACGTCTCAAACAAGATTAAGTAGTTTTCCTTTGCTGTCTATCGAAATTATAATTCCAGAAAGTCTAGGCAAAAATTCGGTTTTAGTAGTTTTTATTTGTAGATACGGAACCCTATCGTTAATACCTACTAATATTAATAACTGTAAATATATCTTTGTATTGTGCAATAAATATAGGGCACATTAATAAGAAAAATGTATGTAAGTAATTTTTTATTATCAAATTTAAAGGCATGATTCGCCCGAGGTGCCTAATTGGTTAAGGCCTGCCCTGTGTATGTAGGTACATACATATGTAGCTGTGCATATTTTTATTCATATAAATATCCAGTTTGTAGACGTTTGCATACTTTTTATTGTTGTTATTTTTTGTTTTGTTTATGTTTTGTAATAAAAAATGCTGACACGGAATTTTATATACCAAGCATATGTACATGCATATGTACTTACTAGTTGCTACTACTTGTGGTTGCCAGCAGTTACCTATACAGCGTATTAGTGGAAGAGAGTGCGCAAAGTGTCGTTTAGTGGGCGCGTATTAGCGAAAGAGAAAAAAGGAGAGTAATAGCTGAACGTGTGTGAAAAGGCACAAATCTCACATTAATACTTATGAGGAATGCTGCTGAGAGCTCTCACCACGGTACCCACACTAACTATATACATTTTTACATATCTACATTTAGATGCTATTTTTTAAAGTGCAGTCGCGACGGCTCGAATTCTATCCTTTATTTTGCGTACAGATGTACGCGTGCAAAAATAGAGAATGAGAAGGAAAAGGCTTTGCTTGCTCCCACCCACAAGTTCATGGTTCTTAACCAGTTTGGTTGCATTTCTATTATGTATTTATGTATGTATATAATGAGCACAGGCCATCATACTGAGAGCAGCACACCTAGTTAAAAATCTCTTGGGAATGTCTCATTAGTAAATACATATCTACCTATATAAATGTGTATGTAAACATACATATGTAATGTAAATATGCACATACTCATACTAGACCGCCCGTTACAAAATTGGTTTTTCCGGGCGGAAAAGATGTCACTTGATTCGATTTAGAAAACCATATGCATTCAGGAAAAACGTTGTATACTGAATAAATGAAAATCGTGAATTTTTTACACCTTTATTATGTAAAATAATTAACAGAATCGG